AAGAAGGAATTTATTTTGGCACCAACTTTGTATCGCATTGACTTTTTTAAGGCATTTTTTATGGAAACATATGCATTAGACTTTGCCTTCAGTATAATATTGTCACAAATATGAGCAGATAACAAACTCCATCTAGTAGCTATTCATTCCAAGAAATTTTTAACAATGGAGATTAACTATGAGATCCATCACAAAGAACTTCTTATAATTTTGGATTCATTTTAAGAATGGTGTCATTATTTAGAAGGCGCTTCAAGCCCAATCACAATGTATGTAGATTACAAGAACCTCAAGTATTACATGTTGGCATGTATTTTGAATTTTTGCCAAGCACGTTGAAGCATGTTATTATCAAGAGTTGATTTCAAGATCACATATTGACCTGAAAAATAACAAGGTTTATCAGATGTTCATTCTAGTCGTTCTTATCTTATACCAAAAGAAGGAGACGTATCCTTTGATCAACAAAGAACAATCTTCTTGAAGCTAGAGCAATAAAATCAACATTGATTGTTGATTCTACCTTTGTCAAATAAATTCAATCAAGTATATCTTTTGATTTTCTTATTCATGATATCAAGAATCTTTCTTCTAAGTCTTATGATGTTTCAAAGTTCAAGTTCAAAAAAAATCTTTTTTATTTTGAAGGATGCTTATATGCTCCAAAAAAAAAAACATATTTACGTGTTTTTCAAGCATGTCATGACTTTTTAGCAACATGATATTTTAGATACAATAAGACTTTAGAGCTTATATTCAGAGATTTTGGGTGGCCACACATGTAGAAGGCGGTAAAAGACTTAGTCTAGTCATAATATGTTTGTTCAAGATCAAAAACTCCTTGCCATCAATCCTATGGACTTCTCCAACCATTGCCTATACCCGAATAACCATGGTCTTCTATTTCTATAGATTTTATTATAGATCTTCCAAGTTCAAGTTTATATGACTCTATATTCGTAATTATAGATCACTTCACCAAAATGACACATTTGTATCACATACAAAATCTATTTCAGGTGAAAAAAATAGCTAAGCTTTTAATTGATAATATCTATTGCTATCATGGCTTTTCAAAAGATGTTATATTAGATAGGAGGACTCAATTTATATTAAGATTCTAGAGAACCTTATTCAAGATTTTAAAGGTGGATATAAAGCTCTCTTTGAATTTTCATCCTCAAACTGATGGACAAATGGAATGGATGAATCAAGTTTTAGAGTAGTATTTGAGGTATACCATCAATTATCATCAAGATGATCGGAAATTTTTTTTGCCATTGATAGAGTTTGCATACAATAATTTAGTACATTCTTGTACTCAAAAAATACCTCTCTTTATCAATTATGGTTATCATCTATGATTTAATATTTTTGACTTTTCAAAAGTTGATAATCTTGCGATAGAAGATTTAGCAAATTATTTGTCGAAGCTACATGCAATAATGAAGACACAATTAAAAGAAGCTCAAGAATGATAAAAGACCAACGCAGATACCTATTATAAGGACCATCCATAATTCAATGTAGGTGACAAAGTATGGTTACTTTATCGCAATATCAAGACTACTCATCCTTATAATAACTTGGACTATTGTAGGCTAAGACCTTTTCCTATTTGTGAACAAATCAATTCTATTGCTTATTGATTACATCTACTAAAGTCTATAAAGATCCACCTTATATTTCATGTGTCTTTTCTTGAGCCATATAAGATAGTAAATATCTCGGGAAGAAGACAAATACTACCTCTTCCTATAGAAGTGGATAATAATCAAGAGTTTGAAATAAAAAAAGTTTTAGACTCAAGGCAGTACCAAAATAGGTTGGAATATCTTCTTTACTAGCATGAATATGATATTAGTGAATATACATGGGAGCTATTAAAGAATCTTGAAAATACAACAAATAAAGTTGAAGCCTTTCATCGATGACATCTATTAAAACCATGGTAAAGAATAGAAAAACTTTCCTATAAAAAAAAAATACCAAAGAAAGATAACACTCTACTTTCTATCTTTTTTTGTAGCTTGTGTATAATTAAGGAGATAGAGAACCAACAACCAGCAGATTCAACTCAAGAGATTTTATTTGCGAACTTACCTGTTGAGACATTGCAATCATTATAACCTTTAAGATGACAAAATTGAAATGAGGATCGTTAAGAAAGACATGTCCTTCTTCAAATAAATGGCGAGATACAACGTATTTGGTATCATGACCTTGGAAGAGACTCCCAATGTTTGGTGATTTTATTAGAGGTAGGAACAACCTTTGACGGTGTTCTAAATGTTTTATTTGATAGAAGTTACAAATACTATATAATAGAGTGGTCTTCTCACCTTGGTATGGAACACTATCGATGGTTGAAAGGACCTATCAACTATTTTCAAAGAAAACAAAGATCAAAATATGTAGCAAATATAATTTGTCACATCTTGAATTTCCTCAATATATGAAAACCGCTTCGTAAAACTTGTCCCTTGAAAGGGAGGTAATATCACAAACATACACAGGTATTCTATTAAATAGTTATATGATTAAGTAAGAAATGGTAAAAGTAGATAAAAGTAGGTTAATTTTATAAGACCTTTTAGAGAAGCTTGTTAGAAGCTTCATAAATGTTGTTTGACTTTACATGTATTTGTAGTTGATTAGTAGGTTAGAAACTTGGTCAACAACTTAACCATGTGTTAGTAGCTTGTGGAATAAGCTAACTATATGGCGCACATATAGAAAACTTGTCTTGCAAGTTAAGATACATGTCTTACAAATTCAACACATTTTGGAGATCTTATAGGACATCACCATGTAGCTCCTAGTTAATAGTATACATGGATGCAAGAGTAAAGCCTTTTTCACTCTTATCAACACCTTTCTAGCCTTTAATCTTGTTTCAAGACTTTCTAATCTTCTTGTTTTTGGCAATAGCCATTCTAGTTCAATATTATATCATTTTTGAGTGACTTTTTAGTTCTTTTCAATGATACAAGAGTGTGTTGAGGATTTTCTTTCTTCAAGTTTCATGTCCTTGACACATACTTATAGTAGTGAGAGTTTTTGGACTCTTTTATGAAGTTGATCTGTTAGCTTGACTTGGATTTTTTCATTTACATAACTCATTGGCATACACATTAGATCTTAATGTTGACTTCTTCTTTAAATATAGAAATAGTACTTCCATAGTTGACCTTGGCAATAGTATTAAATTTACTTCTACTTATTTATAATTCAATTTATAATATATGTATTTATTATATATAATATATATATATATATATATATATATAATAAATTTAGCCATATTATGATAAGTCACATCTTATTAACTTGCTTATAAAATCAACATCCACTTCTTGTATTCTACTTATATTTGTTTGTTCAATTTTGTTTTATAATAAAATAAATAAATTATAATTTTTTTATTTGGTATTATTTTTATAGTTTAAAAATAAAAAAATAAAAAAATAAAAATTATTAAGTGTATATAAAAGTAATTAGATAATCTAGATGATATATAATAAATTCTTTGTCAAGTTTTTTTCCACCAAAAACTATTTGCTCTAATAACTCTATTAAGGTCAAAACCTCTAAAAACTGATACCAAATATTTAGAGCAAATAATTTAGACCAATCCAATATATGTGTAGATTTTAACAATAGGTATTCTATTTAATCTCCCAACATAATGCTCCATAAAAGTTATAACTATCAAACTCTCATGTGATTTTGGAATCTTGCAACACTGCAAAATCAAACCCAAAGACAGCACACTAAGAAGTGATACACGATGATTACTAGGAATAAACTATCTCCCCACCTCCTGAGATCATTTCTATTATATTCCTTTCTAGTACAGCGTCGGCAGCATTACTAACCCATTTTAACCACACCAAATTTTGTGCTGCACATAAAAAATGAACGTGTGCATCAATCAACGGGCAAGTTTCCACATGCCAACTGGCAAAAGACATTCACAGATGTATAAACGCCGGACTCAAAAATCAGGCAAGACTTAGGAGTTGCACCGGAATCAGCGAGAGACAGTTCCGGGCCTGTGCAGCGATGGAAAGCGAACAGCAAGGGTGCAGTGAACGACGTGGACACTTGGCGCGTGACGAATATCTGCTCCATGATATGACTGCGCTGTGACACACGACCACGTGCTCAAATCCATCGCCTCCGTCATAAATATCTACACTGCTCCGTTGTGTCCCAGTAAAGGGAGCTGCAGCCACGATGCAGCGATAGCAGAGGAATGCCAAGCCTGTCACTTACTGGTTCCATCGCAGAACAGTGCAAAGTTACTCATGATCCGTCCAAGTCACTGGCAAATTTCAACTTGTGTGAATCTGTTGCTCACGGTTCTGCAACATTACCAGTTTCTATGATTGCAACCCTACTTCCTACCCAGACTGGACCCGTCCAACTTTGTCCACACGCTTGTGATCAGCAAAGGGACTGTGCCATGCACCGTTCAGAGGCAGGGCACCGAGGCTGGAAAAGTTGCTCGGAATGGGCGACTTGCCCAATTCCGTCACGACTTCCCGGACGGCACACACGTTGGGCTGGCGAAACACAGAGAGCACCGGGCCCGCTCGGAATGGGCGACTTGCCCAATTCCGTCACGACTTCCCGGACGGCACACACGTTGGGCTGGCGAAACACAGAGAGCACCGGGCCCGCGCCGCAAATAGTCAACGACAGTACATCCACACCCTCGTCGGACAGGGAGCGGTTGAAATGCGGTTCCAAGCTTGCCACACCATCATGCCAAGATTCGCCGAACTCTCTGCCAACCGCACGGAAACTGAATCTTGGCACGTGCGCCATGCTGGCCACACCGCGGAAGTGTGTGCGTATGCGCTGGCGACAAACAGCATCTGGACATCGTCCGTTTTGTACAAGCTCTGACCGATTATCACGTCGGTCTCGGCAAACAACTGCCCAAGTCAACATACCCATATACATCGCTAGCTGTTACGACTGGACACACGACATCAAGTTATCATCCGCGGAGCGTAGATTTAATAGATGGGGCTTAACCCGCCATGGAACCATACAGACGCTAATCTCGAATGTGTCAACCCGGACCCCGCTAAGATGGTCGGGGTAGCTACATGACAGTGCACCGAGAGTGTACCACAACCTACAACGGTAAGACCGAGAATGTCTTCCCTGGTGGAATTTGCGACCAAGGAGGTCACTGATCTACGACTGCGCGATAACACTTCTCACAATCCTCACCGAGGCTTCTCAACCTACTAATTTACACACAAACTCCTAAAATCCTCGGACCAGATACTCCTACTGTACAGGTGAATTGCAACCGCCACACTCCACGCTCACACCACCGCTCCGCCGCCCGGACCTGGCTTCATCTTTCGCACCCCGGATCGGCCTACTCACCCATCTCGGCTGCCGGGACGGGCGCTCCGCCGCGCGCTACATGCATCTGCACCCTCCGACTCCCCTACACCGCCGAAGGGATCATAAGAACCCCTTCGCTATCTCTGTAGTTCGACATGCTTGTACTCGGAACTTCCAGGACCTACACTCAGCTCGGAGAAGGAGTCATGCGGAGGACTTGGGGCGTGACCGTGGACGCTTGGTGACAACATTCCATGCCACCACGCCTACACCCGCCCTTACTACGACCTCCGGCGAGGTCGCCTGCAGGGCTGGTGTCGGCTTACGCTAATCATGCTTGGGGACTCGCAGCTAGAGTCATTTCTCTAAACACTTTCAGCCTTCGCTGCCGCTTCATCTCCATCTCTGACGCCGACAGGTCCGCCATGGGAATGGGCACCAGCTCCTTACTGAACAGGCTTCGTGACAGTGGGTCCCGCCCGTAACTCTCGCCCTCCGCATTCTCGCACCCGAAGTCCAGGTCGTTAGGACTCTGGGTGAACCCCAGGCAGCTCCACGCACTAACCGTCTTCTCCTTCACAGGGGTCAGCGTTCTGCTGCGCTTGCCCACCGCGTTGTGGAGGGGTGGCAGCCCCGGGAGATTGATGTTCACATTCTGGTTCTGCAGCGGTTGGATCACCGCCGGGGCGGCCTTCTCCGAGAAGGATGCTTCGGTGATCTCCATGGACAGGGAACGCAGGGCGGCGGGCTGATTCTCGCTGCATTCTCCACAACTCGCCCACCCATTGCCGAAACCTGCAGGGACAATCGAGACAGGGCGTCAGCCGCACATGTGGCACACCTCCACTTCTGCGAGCATGAAGAAAGCTCCAACACACACACACACACTGCAGGCTCTCTCCACCGAACCCGACCAACAATAGCCGCATGCCGTCCCGACCAGACCTTCAAGTCCAATCACTCGCTCCACCCATGGTCATACACCCACCCCATGTCAAACAAAACTTCGCGACCCAATACCTGGAGGATTGGTCTTCTGGCTGCCCTTGCCGCCCCATCCGCCCGACACCCCAAACCGCTTCACCCTGTTCTCCCCCTGCCCACACCCCCCCGCATTCACGTTTGCGCCATTACGGACCGAGTTGGTCAGATCGAACGTCAGCGGCGCACGCTCGCTGCTGGACAGCGGAGGCCTCACAGCTGACACTCCGTTGCCGCCACCAGCTATCGGCCGGAGGACCGAAGCCTCCTTCGCAACCGCCGGGTTGAGGGGCTTGGCATCGCTGCTCAGGGATTGCTCAGCCAGGGGAGGAGTGCCTAAACCAGAGTCAACGTCGACTTTCATTCCGAATTGCCTGCTCATGAACGCGTTCCCCAGCACCGACACTGTCTCCAGTCGCTGCCGCAGCGTCTCCGCGTGCCATTTCATCGGCTGCTTAGCGCTCCCCGGGTACCCCTGCACGCTCTGCTCGCCTTGCACGTTCAGTGCGTCATCAACTTCCAGCGAAGGGTGGTTCAGCTCTTCATCCGACCACCCTGCACGCACCCCACTCTGGAACCACGTCTCATCCCCCTGCTGGCTCGCTGCGTGCGCCCGCACTCTGGGCGTCGCGGGCGCCTGGTACCCCGACTTCTGCTGCGACGGTCCGAACCCTGCAGTGGCCAGGAGTGCGCCACTCATGGAAGGCTCAACAGACTGCGAAAATTGTTGCTCCAGGTTCGAGCGTGCCATTCGCCGTGGCTGTCGTGGCATCGCCGGTTGAGGCTGCCAAAATGACGAATGCTGCAGGTCGTATCCACCTTCGAACCCGGGGATAGCAAACGACCTCAGTTCCTCAACTGCCTTCTCATGCCCTTCCGCGCCCATGGAGGCCTCCAGCTCCTGCAGCATTTCCTGAGCACGGTCGTACGATTTCAGGTGCGAGTCCGAAGCCCACCGATTGTCGTTGCACCGAGTCACGCTCTGCAGCATGGCCTTCGCCTCCTCCAGACGCCCTTGCTTCATCAGGCAGATTCCTAGATTGCAAACCTTGTTGTTGTCTGGCTCGATCGACAATGCTTTCCTGCCAAGCGGTACACACGCGCACACCGCAGTCAGTGCATACATCATCACCAGCCCCACCTCGCCAACATCTCTGCAACTCATCCGCATCCGTACCCGCATATACAATAACCTATCCCATGCGCCCACCCCATCCACATACCCATCCCCATCCCAACTTTGAACTCAGATCATCACTGAAATGCTGCTGGAATGCTTTGCGATCATCACCTGTACACGGCTTCTGCTGCAACGAAGTTCGACTGCTGCATGCACGCCCAACCCAGATTTCCCTGCACCTCCACCACCACCACCAACGGACTGCAATTAGCACCCATCCTGGAGCGAGTCATACAAGCATGCCACCCCTCTCCCATGCCATTGCCATCAGCTAACCCAGGTAAGCCCAAGTCAACACCAGCTCATGCGCACCAGAAGACGAGTCGCTTCCTGCTCGATCGACACTTGGAACTTCTTCCCCTGCGATCTCGCCGTCTTCGTACGTTTGCCGTTGAACGCCATCCCCTGATGGATCAGATGCAACTTGTGCTTCAGGAGGTCAATCTGGTCATCCAGCCTACCGCACCTCTGCATGGTCCACAATGTCCACCGGTCAGGTTGGCATCTGCATTCCCCATGGTGAAACCGGAACGACCAAGCGTTGCGAAACTCCGGGCTCCTGCACTACTTCACGCACCTTGTACAGATCGAGCAGCACATTGTCCAGCGACTCCTGGGCCTGGTCCGAGCACCGGCTGCGCAGCGACTTGATGGCTTCGATAGCCTCCTGCGGCCGGTTCTGCTGTTTCATCACTATGGCCATGTCCTTCAGAGCGCTGTCAACTCTGTCCCCAGCGTTTATGGCTGCCCAAAACAACGCGATCGCACGGTCGGGGTCCTTGTCCACCAGCTGCACACAAACCGCATTCGTCAATACCCTGCACTCACCGTCGAATCCCCAACCAATCGAGCATCACCGACGCACCACGGCTGCCAGGGTGGCACTCATACCAAACCTTCTCACAAACGTCACCTTCTTCCGCCGCCGTTCCTCCACGTTCACATACTCTACAATAGCTTAGCGGTGTTGCCACCAAACTAATGCACTATCCGAAACATCCTGGAGGGCATCCCTCTCGAGCTCTACACGTAACCCTACTCGACAGTCTCTCGGGACCGATCGCGATTAGCTACTTCTGCGGCATCCTGTCGGCAAAAGGTACAACAGAGTGCTCTGAATCGCTCTCAATACTGCTCCTGAGGTGATACGAACACCACATCCCTTCGATGCAGCTGGATGGTTAGCCATGTCATTGGATCCCTCACCACTTGTCCACATGCATCTCCGCTGGGTTGCTACTGTCTCGTCTTCGGATGCATGCCTTACAATGAGGTGCTCATGTTCAGTACTGACACAGAGCGAGAGCCAACAAGAGTACCTGGACGTGCTTGGCCTTCACATAAGGGGTGTCACCCACTGGCACCTTGTGAACTACGTGGAATGAATCAGCCCTCGCCGACAGCCGCTTCGACGGAGGCTTCACAGGTGAGCACGGAGCTGACTTTGTAACGCGCACGCCATAAAGCATGTGACCGACAGCCGGCTGCGGATACTGCTCACCCCACATCATCCTGATCTGAGAATCGGATACGGCCGATCCTGTACAGGCGCTGCAATGTTGTTGTGCAGTTTCACACACTTGCAGCTGGAAAGCTTCTGACAAGTAAGCTGCTGAGTTCGCAACTGCGGAGTTGGCACAATTCAGCTGCTTTCGAGGATCGAGCGAAGAACTGGTCCAGCAGACTAGTTGGGTCATAGAATGATGAATGTGATGCCAGGGTGTTCCTCAAACCCGAAATATTCACAGTGCTGGCAGCAAGATACAGCCAGCAATTTCTTCTACTTATTGTAAGAGCTTCTATATATCGCTCTTTCGAGTCCCGTGACCAGTGCAGTTCTCGGGACTCTGAATCTTAGAGTCGATTAGGAACGCTATGACCTTGCAGTAGCTCTGCGAGGCTTGGTGCAGGCTGCAATATAAACTAAGGCAACCCAGCCACTCTTTAATTGCACCCAAGGAACGGCATTATCTCTGGGATCGGAAACGATGCCTTGGAACTCGCGTGGCGAGGGTAGACGATCTAAGCACGGTTACACCAGTGTAAATTGAAATGTCATCAGTGTATCCCTTTATATCACTAATTTCAACCAGGCCTGTAATCTAAGAAACAAACTCAGCATTCTCAATAAATTCAACGTACTCCACCTCCAACGTTGAACAGCGATCGGCAACGTGACAATCAAGAACTAAATCAAGCTGGATCTTCATGAATCTAATCAATCAAGGCATGAAACTGGCTCTACGATTGCATCACCGAGATTGGAGAGGAACACAGATGGGTACTCCACGCCTAGACTCCCGGGCTGAATAAACATCAGACGATGAATCCAACAGCCGGTTGGAATGGGAAAAAGAAGGTTTTCTTTGGAGAGGCGTGGACGAGGGGAGAGTAATCAGGGGGAGGGGGAGAGTGAGAGAGGGGAGGATAGACAGGAAGATCACAGTGGCGACGGATATGCATCGGTGGGGGAAGAAGAAAAGGAGACGAGAGAGCGAGGTGGAGAAGAGCCGTTGCGTCTCCAACGGCTACAAGTTCCCTCACAACGGACCCCGAGGACCAGGGATGTGGTTTGTGTTCGTGTTTAGTTACATCCAGGTTGTCGTCCGGGTATGACGGGCGGGTATCATATCTGCGCGTGTGACCGTTCCTCCTGATGTTGATAATTCTTTGTGGCTGCCTACGTGGCTCGAGCGAACTGAGTCCATGTCAGCGCAACTTATCCTACGTCATCGCACTGGTTCACACACAATTGGCAGTACTTTCTAGCACGTGCTCTTTTGTATTGTTGTGGGATCCTAGGATTCCGCCATTAGGAGGTCCTTTGCCTTCAACATCTTTGTTATAAATATGATATAAAAATTAAAATAATGATTAAATATCATTTTCAATTTTATTTTAAAATAATATATCATTTTATAATTTTTATTAAAAAATAAAAATAAAATTAGAACATGGATAGCATTAAATATTTACTTTTTAATAAGATATATAAGTAAAATATTCTATCTAAAAAACTATGTTAGTAAAAAATATATATTAAAAATTAAAATAAGATAAAAGTATAATTTTAGCCCTTTCACCAACCGTTTTATTTTATTAATTTATGTATTTTTCATGCTCATCTTGACATCTACAAGATTTCTTTTTAATATTTTTAATCTTTGATATTCCAAAAAAGAATTTAAATATTTTTGAATAAATCAGATTTAAAAGTGTCTCATTAAATTATAAACAAAAATAAATACATACTACTAACTCAAATTTATAATCTAAAACACATTGTTTGAGAATTAATTTCTTTAAGCATGTAAAAAATAATTAAAAAACATAATTTTATTCAAAAATACCTAATGATTTTATAAAATATTTAATTAAATTACAGTCTATGAGCTAATATATATATATATATATATATATATATATACATATACATATATAAGTTTAAACTATAAGTTTATTTAATACTTATGTTTGAAATTAGTAATAAAATTGTATCATTAAATAAATAAAATAAGATCATGACAAAAAAATAACAATTATTTACAACATTTACATTAGACCTATTTATATTGAGTCTTTGTATCTTAAGTCTAGATTTATTATATCATCATTATTTTTATGTATTGATCTTGAATTACATGAAGAAAAAATATATATAATAATAATAATAATAATAATAATATATAATTTTTTATGTTTTAACATAATTTAGTGTATATGCTGGTACTTCAATGAAATATTTAGGAATTTTTTTTATTAAGTTTAAAACTAAGAGCCTTCAACTCTCTTCTAATCAAAATTTAATTTGGAATTAAAATCATCACTTTAATTATTATTTTTTTAATTTTATTAATAGAAACATTTTAGAGTTTAAGGATGATATTCTAAAGTCTTAATTTACAGTTCAACTACATTGAAGATAAAATTCAATATTAAATGTACAAATGGCATGTTTAAATTAAAATTATATTTGGTTGTTTATGATTTTTTTAAGAGTGTATAAGGGATCTATTGAGAACTTGTATTTATCTATTATCACTGTAATAAATTAATAATATCAGCATAAGAAAACAAAAGATTAAGAAACATTGAAGTAAGAAGAGATTTGACAATTAGTAAGATTTAACATTAGATTAGAAACAATTCACTAATTATGTTACTTCACATCTTATATTGACGAGACTAGGAGTATTATTATCTTAATAAATTTTATAGTGTAGTACTATAGTCTCATAAAAGAATTAAAAAAAAAATGAAGAGATTATAAATTATTTTGGTATATTGCCATGTTAGTTTTGCTGTTGATTACATTATTTCTGAGATTTATTAATATCTTATTTGAGACATATGTTGATATTAAACAACTATGGTAGTAATTTATTTTGATTGATTATGTGTAATAATTTTATTAGTATTATATATTATTATATTTGGCATCTTATTACTTCTAAATGTATTCCATGTATATTGTTTGATCTTGTTTATTCAAATAAGTAATATTTATTTATTTATTTTTATAAAATTAACTTATTTTTATTGCTTTGGCACTTATAATACTATTGGTACTTATTATCTTCTTTTCTTGATTTCTATTAATACAATTAAATCTTTTATATAAGTCAAGGTAACATTTCTTGAAGCTAGTATTACTAAAGGTATTTGCAATTGCATCCTTTTTCATTGTAAAGTTATATTGTAATTTCTATTTTCTTGTAGGATTATATGTCTTTTATTTCAGTTTAATCATGATTTTTTCTTATAATCCTCAATCTAACAATGTGTTTTTTGTTAGAAAAATAGTAAGAAAAGAATGGTTAAACTTGTTTAGATAGAAGCTCAAAGAATAGAAAATTAAATGAATTAGTTTAAAACAAAATAGTATAAAAAAAAACTCAAAAAAAGCTCATTTAGATATTTGTAATATAAAAATATTTTAAAGATGGAATTAATGAGGCATTAATAAAAAATAGAAATAAAATTTAATAATAAAATATTATAAAGTATCTCAATAGAGAATACATTGGAAATATAAATATTCTACATAACTTCCTATATCACCAACTAAGTAAAGTTATTTTTGGTACTACTTTAAGTATCATTTAGAAATTTATGATTAAGATTTTATAATGATAATGGGTTACAATGGCAATAAATTCTAATAGGTTGGAATTAATTTAGAAATGTGAATGGAAATTGGCAATGTAATAAGTTGTATACAGGTTTTTAGAGAGTTAATATGTTTATTTATTAAAGAAAAATATATTAGAAAGAGATATTAAAATAAAAGGCATCAAAATTATACAATTAGAAGAAAAAAATGCAAAAGAAACTAAAGAAACAAAAATATCAAATGACATTAGAATTGGAATAGTATATTAAAGTACAAAATTAATATAGAAAATTCAAAATATATGTAAGAATAAATTATGGCAAAGGTGTAATTAGATAAACTATAGAAATTATATAAAAAAATCATATAAAAGGCATAAAACTTAAGAATAATAAAATATCATTATATATGTAAAAAAAGAGCAATAAACATTTAGGTTGTACATAATATAGTTGTAAAAAAATAAAAAATGTGGCATGAATAATTCAAAGAAGAATTCTAGTATATTAAATTTTTGGTTTTGAATGTGATATTTTTACTTCTTTTTTTTAAAAAAATATTTTGATATCAAGTGATTATAATTTTTTTTTTATTATTTTTTTAAGACCAATTAAATTATAATGTTAAATTATATATTTTTAAAAAGAAAAATTTAAAAACTATAAATATAATTATATTCTATAAAGCTTTTATATAATTCTATTTAATAGTCTTTTATATCTTCTTAAAGTAATTAATCTAAATAAATTCTTGTAAATTCCTAAATTACTATGTGATAAGAAAATTAAATATTTTATTATTTCTATGATAAAATATTAATTAAATTATTTATTACAAACATAGAAAATTTATAGACTTTTAAGTAGATACTTAATTTTAATTGTTTTGATTCTTTAAGGATCTACAATTTTTCTATCTTTAAAAATTGTATAATCCGAGATTATTTCAAAATTTTCAAAGAATGTTTCTTTCATAAAATTACTAATTTTGTTTTTTGATTCTTTTAGAAACATAATTTTAATTAATTGGAATATTTATCTAATTTTTTTTAGATATAAAAGAATTAAGATATTTTATAAATTTTAATTAATAAATATAAAATATTTTTTGATATATTGTATAAGAACTTATAAGTTTATAAGGCTTTCTAATCTAAGTATAGATTCCTTATTCTTATTTTAAAATTTTATTACAAACATTAGGTGGATAGACTTTAACTAAGTTGAATCTAATTTTTTCCATTCAATATATATATATATATATATATATATATATATATATATATATATATATATATATATATATTTATTTTGTTATAGTAGGAATTAATAAGTGATGATAATTAAAAGATTATTTTAACTTAAAAACTTCAGCTTTTGATAGTCAATTTAAATTCTAAAATATTTTTTTTTTTAAAAACTCACATAATAAATTATTAACATGTTTCTTCTTCAATGAAGGTTATGAATTTTTATTTTATAAACTTTTATTATTTTATTATATTTTATTAGTATTTCTTAATTTTATCTTTTAACTAGCTTGATAGTTTAATTGCATATTAAAAATATAATTATATTTTATAACTTATTATTGATATGAAAATGTACATGCATTTCTTGTATATATAATGTGGTGTTTTAGCAAGTTTTATTGTACTATCATAATTGAATTAGGTATAAGTTAGGTGTTTATTTGATAGTATTCAATTTTTTTTATTGATTTGATATATATATTTTAATATTGATCAAATTAAAAAATCATGTTTGTAGAATTTCTACCTTCTTTTATGTCATTGGATAAATTTATGTCACAAACATATATTTTTTTCTAGATAAGAAGTATTAGATAGAAGATAAATGTAGATAGATTTGATATTATCTTGTGGTGAAGCTTCTTAGAAGATTCATAGATGTGTATTTGATTTTAGACGTATTTGTAGTTGATTGGTAAGTTAGAAACTTAGCCAATAAATTAGCCACATATTGCATATACTAGTAGCATGTCAAACAAGCTAACTATATGGAATACATATAAGAAACCTGTCTTGTAAGTTAGACAGATGTCTCACAAGTTGGACACATATTGAAGGTCATATAGAATGTCACAATGTAGCTTGTAGTTAGAAAGTATATATGGAGATAAGAATGAAGTTTTTTTTACTTTTATCAATGTCTTTTTAGTCAGTCTTATTTCAAGACTTCTTAGTATTCTTATCTTTGGCAACAACCATTTTAGTTTAATATCATATCATCTTTGAGTGATTTTTTAATCTTTTTGAGTAATACAAAAGTATATTGATCTTTTTTTTCTTTAGAATTTATATTCTTAACAATTTGATAAGAGTGCTAATTTATTGTTTT